CAAGGGGGGGTGGGCCTCCCGCCTGCCGTCGTGTGGCGAGCTGAGGAACGACAGCTTCAGTGAAACCCTATTGTCCCCTCAGCCACTGCATTCATCATCAGTCTTTGTTAGACCTCCACTGCATTTATGATAAGATTAAATGGGGCTTTCCATCATTTTGTACCCCTGCATGAGTACAGATTAATTGGTGCCATTTGCCACTTTATAAGGCAAGAAAATGCACCAATACAACAATTTAAAGTACAGTGATTTACCTAAAATAACTAAAGTAAAAGGACTTGCCATGTAGATAAATGGCTTCAGTGACTCACATATGGCATTAATAGATTGTGAAGCTACTTTCATATAGTTATGCATGAAGTGGTTCAAAACCTTGGAGTCACAAATGCCACAGGAGAAATTTAAAGGCTTGTGAAATTAATGGCATCAGAAAGAAAGTTCTGCTACACAAATTCACATTTTGGACTTTCTAGTCCTTAATTTGATTATTCATTCTTTTTTAAGCATGTATTTAAAAAAAAAAACCAAGACTTAACAAACAATTATTTTATAATTGATAATTGATTGTAAATAATTTTTCTCTTTAAACATGCATGATTATTTTGTTATATGAAATACCAGAAAAAAGTAAAAAAAATGCCTGTCATAATTTTCCTCATTCAATCATGACATATTTAAAATATAGCCAGATTTATTTTTATGTTCAGTCTTAATCTAAAATGTACCTGATAAATAATCTATCAAATTAACACAGTGGATTAAAAACATAGATGTCCCTCTGTTATGTTGCGGAGTACAAATATAAGTTAGTATAAAATGTTATGTACAAATACCTCAGAGTTATAGTATAACTAATGGCTTTATCAAGAGTTAATTAATTAGCCAGTAATGCATTACAGATTAGTTATGAGCAGAACCATTAACACCACTGAGGACACAGAGGTCACATCCTCAGTATGGTGACTATATTGAAATACATCTGTGGGGGTTGGCTGGGATTACACTTGAAAACAGAATTAAATATGACGTTTTTAAAACATGTTTACAACCCAGGTTATATATCATTTATAAGACCGACTTTTTGGGTTGCCAGGTTGTGAGAAATCTCTGGCTGGTGTTTATTCTCCTCCAGTGTGGCATTTGCTTTGTCGTTTTAGTACTTTACTTCATCAGGAAGACTTCTCCAATGGCCCATTAGACCACATACCTTCTGGGAAATGTCTGCAGAGCATCTGGACCAAACCAAATTTATGAATCATTTATTAACATTCACAGCTGCAGACTTCATGACTTATTAGAAAGTGAGAAACCTGGCAACACACAAGCTGGGAAATTTAATCTTGTTGTCATTAGTATTCAACAAATCTCTGAAGCACTATAAAATACTTTATTAACCAAAAATAACACAATTTTTACTACTCATAAACCCTTCATTAAAAAGTGGAGCCAATTAAAAGCAAATAACAATAATACACACAATATTAATAGCATATTCACATTCCATTTTCCCATCATTAATTGTAACACACACTCTGTGCAGGAAGTGTTGAGTCACAGGTTTTCCTTTGAACAATGAAACCTATTAGAACGTTATTATACAAGAACCTATTACAGAACCTGGCTACAATGTAGGTAGTGTAGGTAATTGCTTGCTAACACACATACACACCATGAGAGCCAGTGACAGTGAGTAGAAAAGTGCAGCAATTTTGGTCATTATGACTAACAGCTTCATCAGTGCACAAAGATTGATTTAATTTGATTTAATTTGCCTCTTGAATCTGGGAGAATTCCACTTCACTGAGTACTATTAGGACTGTCATCTGCTGTAAATCTTCTGCATCTTCCTCAAGCCTTTGACAACAGCCAGCTATTTCCTTTGTAAAAGTTGAGTTTTGGTTTAATCTGGTTAAGGTTAGAAAACATTTAAGGGTCAGCAGGGTTGTATTAACTCACTTCAAGGAGCCATGAGCTAATGCTAAACTAAAATTTCATATGCTCTGTGTATTGTATATGCATTAAATTTGTTTTAAGCAACTTGATTCTTCACATATTTTTATTTGATAAAATGTACCCTGCCTTTTGTGGTTCATGCTCCCTGCAGGTGTTACATCTGTGTATCAGAGGACACAGCAGTGAAAAGGACACTCTTACAGAAATAACTGGATTATTGAGGGCCAGTGCCATCTGGACCAGTCATTTGCTGTGAAGTTGCATGTAGCTTAATATCTAATAAAATAAAATTTAAAAAATAAATAAAATGTACAGCAGCAGCAACATAATTTTAAGCTCCTCGTGGAGGGGGCTGAATTTACATTCACTGCAAATTCCTCTGCAAGGCCACCATTACAAAATGCCTCACAATTAGTACAACAAGCCGTGGACTTCTGCTTTTCAGTCAGTGTGCTCACCATGGAAACATTCATTTAGCGTACAAGTTGAATAGCACAGTTATAGCATTGAAAAACAGAATGATGGCGGCAGTCTCATAGTTGATTCTTGATACTATTCTTTTTTTTTTTTTACTGAAACCACATTGATATCAATAAGGACTGGAGTGAACCCCTTCCTATCTCATATTTCCTCTAAATCAACCACTCTGACATTTTACAGCTTTAATGTGACTTAGTTTCACACGTATGATGCATGTTTAACATTAAAAACAGCAATAATACAGTAAAATATCCAACAGATACAACGTGTTACAATTCAGAAGTACATTATACACATATGAGGCTCAGACCTGGATTGATTTGGCTGATCATTTGTTTATGAATACAATTAGATTCTAATGCAATCTTATTTATTGAATAAGTATTAAAATAATAATTAGGAAACACATTCAGTAACAATGGTATGTCTTCTATAAGACTTCATCTTTCCTATAAAATGCTACAATAACTTTAGTTAGTAAACCTTTACCACGATATACTTTCATATTCTTAAGGAAAAAAAGGAAGTGCTGACCTTTTAAAGCAAGCTGAGTTTAGAGGGCAAAAATAATGTAAGGCACACAAAACAAGGTACAAAAACACATTTTTTGCTATAGCTACTATATCATGATCAAATTTAGACAAATAAAGAACAAACAGTTAGGTCTAAATTAAGAATTCATTTTACTGAATTAACCCAGTGGCTGGAAACCAAGACAGTAAATCAGCCACATCAATTACTTTTTATACAAGATCAAACAAAATGGTGGTGCAGTACACACCTCAACAAATAGTGGTTAAAACTATATGCATTCAAATAAATTTATTTTTTACCATCTAAACATTCCATATCTCTATACATTTACAGACTGTTAGCTTTTATAATGAACTGTTTCATTCAGGTCTAACAGGAAAGAATCATTGCAGCTGATGTCAGGAAAAGCCTGTGCACTACTATTTAAATGAACATGTTTTACAGTCTTATTTTGCTGAGAGAAATTTTCACAAAGATACACTCACAAGCTGAAGAGATGCTAAGCAGAGTATAAACATTAAATTGCACTAAACACTGAAAGCCCTGGTGTGTAAATACAGTGTGTTATTGTCATGTCGGCTATTGCCTAGGAGGCTTCTGCTCTGTTTTCACATGTAATTCCAGACAAGGTGAGAACACGCCAGGTTGATGAGAGTATGTACAATATTCAACATCTCGGCATAAAACTCGGCATCACAACTGAAAATGTGTGGCGCAGTGTCAGACGGAACAATCTGCTAGAGCACAAAGTTTGGCTTTAAAGAAAGGTGGATGCTCCTCAAAGTCAGCCATCTTGTCAAGGAGGAAATACCTTCTTGAATTTTTGAATCGTGATTACAGAGAATGATTCCTGAGAGGTTAAATTTTGTAATGAACTGAAATATATATAGGCTTTTAGCAAATTTACAATACAGCAATGCAATTATAATTCACATAAAACACAGTCAGTTTAAAACATTGCCGTTCCCAAAATAATAAAGGGTCAACTACTACTGTTCATTCTGTGTATAAAATATCATTTGATCTTTTTATACATGTGAGAACTGCAGTATATTATTCATTTTAATGTGAAAGCCTACAGGAGAATTTACAGGTCTGTTAAACAAAGCATAAATATAGCTACAGAAATAAATACTTTTGGTTTGTTTGGACACGATTCATAATCTTTTCATTGTCGATATCAACTATGTGAAAAAGAATTAAGAGAATATTTTGAGTTCATCTTAAATCAAGTTTCAGTTTCTTCACAAGAGATTGTCATAAATTATGAAATACTGTACAGTGATTTGGGAACTAACTGAGAGGCATTTATGAACTACAGTCACCACTGTCACATAGCCTTTTAATCTAAACTTCAATTTAAAGGGTGAGACTGGGGTTATTCTGTATCTTTCTTACTGTCAGCAAGTCCCATGTAAAGACCTAAACCAATACCTTCTGACTCTCTTACTCCCAACAACACTGGATCCTAGCCTAGATGTAAATCTTTACAAACAGGTCTCAGGTCGGATCAAAAAAATGACAGGTAGTTTTCTAGTAGTAGTTTATAAACAAATGTAACTCAAACATGAGAAAATTTGACATTTGTTTTGGACAATTTTCTGCGGCATTTTGATATTTGGTGCTTTAGTAGTGAATATTTAGAGCAGCAGCACAGCAGAGAGGACTGTGGATGTATTAATTGAGAACTGGATACAGCATGGCAAGACGGCGCCAACCGATTCCTATGAAAGTTACTCAGTGGTGCACAAACCTGAAAATTTTTTTCATGTTTTCAGATTCTAGCCATCGAAATTACGCAATTTATTTATTTTTTTTGGCTCATAAAGCATGCGCTTACATTGAGCCAAGTCTCCCACTGGATGAGCTGGGTGACATCCGATTGGCTCCATGCCATTCTCATGTCTGAATAAACATGATTATTCCTCTTTCCTCGCATTTTGTCCATGCAACTGTTCCTCAAATCTTAGGTGGAAGGAACTAAGAAGCAAGGAAAAAACACAAGTGAAGGAACTGTGGATGCAGTCAAGGGAATTGGAATGTACTGTATGTACAGTAGGACTGAGTTAAAATATCTTTTCATGGGATTTGTTGACAATAAAAAAGTGTAACATAACACAAGATCATCATTTAAGTGAGCTTGTTTTTGGATTATCTGATCAGCTTGCTAGATAAATAAATAGAACTATCCCTCTCTGTCAGATGGCAGTAGTGATCTGAGTCAAGCCCATGTCATTGGAGTCCTCCCAGTCTTGATAGGGCACAGAGGACATGTCCATGGCTAGTCATACTGGCCTGGCCTGCCTCATATCTTCCCGGGCTTCTGTGGGACATGAGTGCTCCCGCAGTGTGCTCCTTACCCGACTCACCCCCTGGCATTCCCCATGTCCTTTGATGCCTGGGCAGCAAAAGTCCCTGAAGCACCTCTTGAAGTTCTCATCCAGGAAGGCATAGAGGATAGGGTTGAGGCTGCTGTTGGTGTAGCCCAACGCCACACAGAAGAAGTAGGCGGCCATGACAGCAGTAGTTTCGGGCACATTGGCCGACAGGGCCTTGACCAGGATGAAGATGTGGATGGGTGTCCAGCACACCACAAAGACAGCAACCACCACCATTACCAGACGCGTGATCCGGCGGAGGTTGCGGTCCTTCTCACGTGACCCCGATAGCAGACGCACACTCTTCAGCCGCATGACCATCAGTGTGTAGCAGACGGTGATGATGATAACGGGTAACACAAAAGCAAAAATGAAGACACAGATCTTCATCAGAGTGTCCCAGTAGGAGTAGGGGTCTGGGAACTGTAGGGCACACTCTGTAGTCCCTGTTATTTATAGAAAAACAAAACAAAAGTTAGGGGCAGATATTTGACCAGTCAACAACAGAGACATAATCATATTTATTTCAGGAGAAACAACAAGTGGACAAGTCTCAAAGTCATGCTGACAGCTCAGTGTCACTGTGCTTAACATCTAAACCAAAATTTTAATCTTTGCCATGTTTAACATGACTTTAAATTGCTTCTAACAACATATGTGAAAAGGCCTTATATTAAAGTTATTCCAAAGTTTAATTTTTCTTTATTTTTCTAGTTCTGTTATGTTTCATGCATTTATTTGTTTGTTTGTCTTATTTTCTTGTCTTTTTGAGTATCTGACTTGTTTTTATTCAATGCACTTTTGTTTTCTGGATTTTTATTTAATAGTGGTGCAGTTTATTATTGCATATTCACCATCTTGGTTAGGCATGTTAGCATACTAACATATGCTAATTAGCACACACACACACACACACAGTTGTCTAACAGCTTTGAATGTCTAACAGCTTTGAATGAAAGAATGTCTTTGTAAAGACATTCTTTGAGACAATGCATTCCCTAGCCCCTCACCCGAACCATCACCCATCTCAGTTCAGTCCACATCTAAGTGTCCTTGGGAAGACACTGGACCCCCAAGTTGCCCATGATGGCGGCGCGTATGCATGCAGTGGCCCGGGGCCCTCGGCTCCAAACAAAATTTCGTTGTAAGTGTCACAGTGTTACAATGACAATAAAATAAAGCTTCTTTTTCTTCTAACCATCAGGACTAACCCAAACCTTTACCCTAAACTAAACCAAATTCTAACCTGAACCCTAAAACCAAGTCTTAACCCTCAACAAGGTGTTTCAGAAAGTGAGGACCGGCCAAAATGTCCTCACTATGTAGGAAGTACAAGAACACACACACAAAGTAGAGCCAGTACGGAATTGAATGTCATTAGTTCTGCATATTTGGCCTGAACTGAAGAGTTGGATGTAATTTAGTTTTGACCTGATGGTGGCGCTCGATGAAACGTTTATGCCAACCAAACAAGTAGAGACATTTTACTAAAAAACAAAAAAAGCCAACCTCAATGTGACTCACAAGAGGCCCTGAGCTCATCAAAGTCACTAGGATTCATCACCTGGTAACCATGAATATGTGTAATAAATGCCATTGCATTCTATTGAATGGTTGTTGGAATATTTCAGTCTGAAGTGACGGACCATTCAATGGACATTGATCTTCAGAGAGCCACTAGCATGGCTAAAAATCCTAACATCAGACTGTGTTGAAATAAGTTTGTCACTACAGAAAGGTAAAGGCCAGAATCTGTTTTATCAGCTAGCGTAATAGCTCTGGGTAAAGTGTACTGTGTTGTAATGAATAGAAGCTCATCGTGAACATGAAAAATTTATTTGACTGTAACTGAAAGAAAGAAAAAATTCAAGATCTATTCTCACTCAAGGAAGATCCATTATGCTAGTCATAGCTTCATCTAGTCAAGTAGCTGCATAATGTAGGCTGTAATCAAACCAACAGAACATCCTGTTCATGAATTTTGATTAATTTCAGGCAAACTGTTGGAAAGTTTGAACTTGTTTTTGAGTGGCTGATAGAAGGTTTTTTTTTTTTATCTAGAGCCAAGGTAGAAATAAATTAGGGGTAAATGAGAAAAACAATTAACATCAAAGCTGGAGTCATACCAGTCCATAACAGTGTGTATGCTTGTAAGGTATGGGTACCGTTATTGGTCTGAGTGCTGCCAAGTATCATGGCAGGGACTCCGGCAGCAGACGACAGCACCCAGATGATCACATTGATAATCTTGGCCTTGACAGGCGTGCGGAAATCCAGGGCCTTGACAGGGTGGCACACGGCCACGTAGCGGTCCACACTCATCATGGTCAAGGTAAAGATGCTGGTGAACATGTTGTAGTAATCAATGGAGATGAAAACCTTACAGGCCACCTCACCAAATGGCCAGGAGCTGAGCAGGTAGTCAGTGCTCTGGAAAGGCATGGTGGTGGTGACCAGAGCATCAGCCACAGCCAGGTTAAAGATATAGATGTTGGTGGCTGTTTTCATTTTGGTGTATCTGCAGTGGGAGAAGAAGGAGTCCTGAAGAGGTTAAATGGGTTTGTTAATGAAATCACATTTTCAAATAGGGATTAGTTATCAGGGTGCTCTGCTGATTTCCTGAATAAACAGATTAAATTCAGCAGCCAAATAAAACAAAGGCAACTGGCAGGAAAACCACTCCTCTTTTTTCCCACTTCCATCATCTCGTGGCAAATTCAAGGCTTTAGAGTATAGGCTAATCTAACCAGGCTGATTTCATATCCAAACTCTTAAATTCCACAAGACCTTTACAAGACTTGATGCAAAACCTTAGATGAAATGGAACAGATTGCTTTGAGAGGAAATGTTATCATTACAATCACTACAACGTTTAAAATGAAGAGTTGTTGTCACTGGTGAAAAAAAAAAACTCAGGGTGTAGTTTGCAAATAACAAAACACACCTTTAAGCAACTGCACATCAGGGTAAATACCATGACACACCATAAGCAACGACAATCCAATAAATATACATGTAAACAAATGTAACTGCATCTTTGTAAAGCTTTTCTTTTCTATTTATTCACGGATAATTTCCCTTTGTGACCCTGCAGGGACCTGGATGTTTCTAACGTGACAACTATTGAACAAAAACTAACTGGCAATTTCAGTGTTGTTAATGAATGTTCCAAATGTAATACGCACTAGATCTCCTCTTGTTTTGAGCCATGCACATGCGGGCACGCACGCTTTTCACCCTTAGCGAGGTGTTTAGTCTTATTTTTGATAATATGAAAAGCTTGAAACATGTCAAAGCTGAAAACTCACCTGATGATGACATACATCACCAAACAATTTCCCACCAAGCCCACTACAAACACCACAGAGTACACCGCGACTATGATGGGGATGATGGGCGACATGGGCTCCGGTTCAGCTTCCCAGGTGCCGTTGGGTGTGTAGTTGAAGACGTCCGATAAGCCGGGTTGCCAGGTGAAGTTTGGGATGCACTGCTCCGGCTGGTCAGAAGGACACCGGTCCTCTTTGTATATGTGTACCACGCTGCTCTCCATGGCGCTGACAGACAGCTGGTTTTCTGGTGACAGCTACAGAAAACAACACGAGCAGCAAATGTATATATTAACACACATTTAGTTCGTCAGCTCGTCATTACGCAATAGTAACGCCAACTTACATGGTTTTCTGCCTTCAAAAAGTTCATTCAAATAACACACAAGACTGATGAGGAGTGTCTAACAGGACGCTCAGCTACAGATTAAACTCCGGATTCTGTAAATATGACAGAAATACAAGGTGTCTGGGTAGTAGTGTGGACGAGCGGAAAATTCACTCCCTGTTCCACCGCTGCGTCCCCGAAGGTGCGCACTGGAAGCCCGCACTGCTCACTCAATGACATCAGAGGCAGAGCCAACAGATATGAGAGTATCCAGCCAGGAGAAAGCTTCTAGCCACATCCATCACCGTCAGCTGAAAACACGGACTTCTTACCATACACATACAGTATAATGCTTTATTTGGATTTGGTTGTTTCTTTGCATTTTTTTCTGCTCAAATGATACCCCACATTAGGAATGCTGTGACCATTCTGACACCTGCTTGTTCATTCAATCATAATAACCTTAAATACATAAAAAAATATCTTTTAATCAGTTTACAAGCTGCCTGTAGGGAAGGTAAAACTATGTATGTGTGCACATCTGTCTGAAAACAGTTACATTTCCTTTAATGCTGGAAGATGTTCCCTAGCAACTCCTGTCAGAACTACCACTGTAAAGCAAACCTGTCACAGTATATCAGATGTTGAAGAGGGACAAAGCAAGATGGACACTCAGTGGCAACCTTAACATTCACTTTGAGATGATTCCATCAACAGCAATGCTGGAAACAACAGGGCAGAAATGAGCAGTATTAAAGAGAGGCATATGGTGAAGCTTAAAAAAAAATAGAAGTCTCATTAGTTCATCAGCATGTTTTCACTCCATTTTGGTCAGAATTTGTTTTGCTGTGTTGTGTTTTTTGTTATTTCCATTTAGCTCTGTGGTTTCATTACTTAGGTTTTCATGTGCATTTTCTATTTTTTTTTTCAACTCACTCACTTCCCCGCTCCCTTAAAACATGGCTATAATAATCATCCCCACAAAAGGGAGCAGCACTCAAGGCTGAAAATGAAAACCAAAATCTGGCTCTAAATGAGGAAAACACCCCTGTCGGTAGAAATAACAGGCTATTGCTCTCTAACCAGTCTCCTCCAGCACATAGGAGACAGATTCCCACCAGTACGTAATTAAGCGGGTGCTGTGTTCCTTGTTTCATGCACTTACACTTGTTGCTTAGAGACCCATCATGGTCAGGTGTTGCTTGAGTGACAAAGCCTTTTTGTGGGTTCCTATTGTTAAGGACTGTGCAACCTTGACTTTGTGAAATGGCCCGTGCTTTCTCTGTATAAATATTTGATGCAACTTGATGAACCTTGAGCTGGCAGTAGTTCAGTAAGGAAAGATCAAATGGAAGTGAGCAACAGCACTGATCGACTTAAGGAACAGACCCCAGTGGTGATTAGACCCCAGTCAGACTCCAGTCTAGGCGCTGATGGTGGTTGGTGGAGTAGAGCCATCGGGTAGCTGATGGAAATCTTGGACAGTGTCCCAGGAGAGGAGGTGGGCTGAGCAATAGTAGGTCTGAAAGACAAATGGATAACCAATGATTGATTGGCTGAGGGATGCAGACAGAAAGATCACTGGTCAGATGCCAGGATTGCAGGTCAAAGAAGATTTGGTGGAAGCAGAGAGAAACAGAGCAAATTAGCTACATGTGAGGGAACAGATCTTCCTTGCTGAACTTGTGCCTAAGCCTCATTTTAAAGGGTGAGTCACATCTCTCCTCCCATGAGAGCCCTGGTGAAGGAAAAGACAGTTACAGTATTTACCCTTTCTAATCCTAATGATACAGTGCCAAAGGTCTGTTTGCACAGATACAATCTGCTATTCTTCCCCTGGCACTTGAATCAGGTCGTGTTAATGGAGTTCCAGAGAAGGAAAGGAAATGCTTATTATGTAGCCACAAGTTGGCGCAGAATAAATTCCTTTTTGCACTTACTTCTTTTGAATGTCTGTTCAGCTTCAGTTAATTGTTTCATGATGAAGGCATGTATTCAATACTAAGATATTAGAGCTTGCACATTTCATATTCTGAAGAAAAATGTTGGCGTTTTCCCAAATGATTCTAATCACCAGTGGGTTACTGTCTCATTTTAATGTGTTTCATGGATCCTTCTCAATTTGACAATTGCCACAGCGCAGTCCTCCACATGCATTGTTAGTGTCTTGTGGAATCCACTGAGCATTCATTGCCATACTGCATCAACAAGAAAAGAGCCACCTCAATTTCAGAGCCACTCGTGGAGCTAAAAGAAGCTGTGAAATGTTGTTCTCACAGACACGTCCCCATTCTCAGTGCAATACTCATTTGATCCTACTGTATTATTGACTAAACTTCAAAGTGTCTGGCTCCTCACCCACACTCTGTCAGGCCTGTTACACAAGGGGGAACTACTGCTTATTGACTTCACAATTTGCACTTAAAAAACTTGGTCATCACAGTGTGTAAGAAACTCACTTAAACAGAAGATATTAATATTACAGTATGTATTAGAAATCATAGCAGGTGAAAAGAATGAACATTAAGAAAACATGGCTTGAGGTCACTATGAGGAATGAAACAGGAAGTTGTCGTCCATATGGCTGTCATGCTAATGCTATATAAAATGTTTGGCTATCAGAACTTTTATTATCGGTGAAGTTGTGGGTTGTAAAGCCAAAATTATGGGCCGATAAATATTAAAATTCTCATGTGTTAAATCCTTTTGGGATCGTCATTATGAGCAACCCCTTCATGTCTACTCATCTGTCTCTTTTTTAAAGATATGTTTTGGGGTGTTTTACCTATCCTCATGTATTTGTCCATTCTTGGGACCCTAATCTGGTATTTTAAAACTTTTTTATTCATTTTGAAGCAGTATTATGTCAGCCCATTCTTTTGCCTTCTGTTCTTCACATTGACATTAGGGTTTAGAAATCAATTCCTACAGAGGAGATGTCTGGTAATTTCTTGAGTTCTGTAAATACAGATTGCTTCCATCAAGGTCCATTTGCAATCATAGTAACGCTTGTAAAATGTGTCATTTGAATTAATCACAGAGCTTTGTTTGAAATTTTCGAAGAAGGTGGAAATGGAAGATAAGAGAGGAGAAATTGCTTTTGTTCATTACTGTGCACTGAATACCATGTTTCTTCAAAACATCAATATTTCATGGACTAAGAAAAAAGTCATGCTTTAAGGAAGGTTTGTGACAAAGGACTTGTGAGGACTTCTTTGGTGTTTTTTAAAAAGGTTTAATGGTCTAAGAATTAGGAATTGTGTTTTAAAAATCCATAACTTGGACATTCATGGACACACAAATAGCTTGAACATTTATAGTATTCTGAAGAGGGTATCAGCTTGCATCTGGAAACCCTGTTCTCCATGTGTATCTTTGACATTTCTGTTATTTTGGCATCATATCAGATCAATATCCAGAATGCAGTTCCCCCATAATATACCCCAGCAATGTACTAGGAACTAGGAATGAATTTATATATCTCCTACCAGGGCTCTAACAACTGTTAAGATAAAACCTCAGTACTGTCAGGTGAAACACCCAGAAGGCTACAGTGTTTCTATTGTCGTTTTGTATGCGAATAATGAGCCAGTCACAAGAGAACAATCCTGCATTCTCTAGTCTTATGAATCAAATGCAGATTCTTGCATCAAAATTACCTGATTTATCTAACCATAAACTTTAACATTTGGAGACCATTGCATGAACATCACAAGTCCCTGAGAAGCATACTCACCTTTGTGTGACAGTGGTTTTGTATGCAGAGGCAGTTCTGCTCACAAAGATCACAACCTTAAAATCCAAGTGTCCAGATGGTGTGGTCAGTCCAGGTCTGCCTGGTTCTGCTCTGGATGAAAATGACTTGGTTTGTGAAAACGTGATCGGCATGTGCTACATCGTCCCTTCAGAGAATTCAGCTGTGCAGTTGGGTGCAGGGTTTGTATTCCTGCTCTGTGGACAACATTGTGGGAAAAAATGTCTTCTGCTTTTGGATGCACTTGTCTAAATGTTGTTAAAGAACATTTGTTTTTAAGTAGCATAATACTACTAAATGTACCTTAAAGGGTCCCCAAGGTAACTGTGATTACTGAGAGAAGTCCAGTAGTCTCTAATGGGCACAACCATGTTTGTCTGTCCCAATGCCTCCTCCACCTTAGCTTTCTCATCTTCATACAAGTTGTCTATCTTGGTTACAGTGGTGGCTCTTGAAGGCAATTCATACGTGCACTCTGTGGATGCGACACAAATTATTTCAAGCAGACCCTCATCCTTCACATTGTTAGGTGGCCTGCCAGCTGTAGCCACCCACCCTGAAAGTTTGTTGCTTGTAGAATTGTTCATTCATCTCCATTGCAAACTATCCAGTGTGGTCTGCCTTTGGCAAGGGGGAGGAGAGCTCTCCGCACCAGCTGTGTGCTTATGGGCACAACCATGTTTGTCTGTCCCAATGCCTCCTCCACCTTAGCTTTCTCATCTTCATACAAGTTGTCTATCTTGGTTACAGTGGTGGCTCTTTAAGGCAATTCATACGTGCACTCTGTGGATGCGACACAAATTATTTCAAGCAGACCCTCATCCTTCACATTGTTAGGTGGCCTGCCAGCTGTAGCCACCCACCCTGAAAGTTTGTTGCTTGTAGAATTGTTCATTCATCTCCATTGCAAACTATCCAGTGTGGTCTGCCTTTGGCAAGGGGGAGGAGAGCTCTCCGCACCAGCTGTGTGCTTGGCCAGCAAGTGGTATTTGAGACTCGACATACTCTGGTGGTAACTCAGTTCACATTGACAGTAAATGCAAATAACTTTGGTTTTGTCAAGAGAACCATCTGTCAGGGCTTTGAAGCTGAACTTGCCATTCAACAGACTCTTTTTCAATTTTTGCTCATTTCTGCTGCTGCACTGCTTCCTGATTTCCCAAAGTACAGGGTGGACCCCGAGTCATAAACACAGAATGTGTGTGCATTAATCACACCTCAGATAAATTTGTGGCATTAAAAGGAATGTGTTAACTTATTACTGTGTTAACTATGACAGCTGTAATTTTAAGTCACATTTTATTGATTGTATTTAAGCAGGCAGGTCATTTAAGAACAGACTTATTTATAAAACTTGTTCAGCCTGAAAGTACAGACTGTCTCTGACTCATGCTTTGAAGAGCAAGGATTTGAGGCAACAATACTCTTTTCTCAGTGAGTTAATATGACAGTGCTCAGATGAAGATGTCAGACAAAGTGTTTGGAGCCATAACACCAGATACGTGTCCTGATTTGCTCTCCACATATTAAATTATTTGAAAATTTATTAAATAACCAGACATAAAGCACCATTTTGAAAGAGACTGACCCTTAACAACAAATGTGGGTGGAGGGGAAGAACAACCGTTTGTTTCAGGGTCCAGAGTTCAGTCAGCTGTTTCAGGTCAGCGTTCACAGCGACCACAGAGTGCCAGTCACTGTAAATAGTGCTCAGAGAGCAAAGCAAGACCAGGCAACTGCAGCCAGAGGTAGTGATCCTCTATATAAATATTGACTATGTGAACATCCCAGCTCCCCAGATCTTTTAGATGTCAGGGCACAAAGGGATGAGTACGTCAAAGTTCGCAAAGAGAAATCTAGTCAGACTGCTTCCCAGCAAAGTTTAAAGACAGTGAAATGTGCAATGTTTATTTGTTCACCATATCTATCAAGGTTAAAAACTAATATTTAGAAGCATCTCAAGGCGTCTGTTGGTTAAGTTTAAATAGACTGTTCAGTTCAGTTGGAACACTCAGTCTTAGTGATTTCCACAGAGGACTCAGAGTTGCAAAGTGTGCCTATTTTCCTCATGGACCTTAACTTCAGTACTGAAGGCATCTGCAAGCAGATCACCCATGGGTATGCTACTGCCAGCTGAGCCTTCTGGTTGCCTCATGTGAGCAGCTGTGAGTACAGCAGCCAGTCGCTGCTGTAAATGCTAATGTTTTCCAAATTAAATGGCTCTTTTGTGCAAATTGGAACTTTTTTGTCACTGTTTGTAGAAATTGAAGCTCACTTATAATTCAGTTTAAACTTTTAACCAAACTGTACTGAACATATTGGATATTAAGTCCACTATGCATATCGGCACTGATTAGGATATCTTAATAAAATACACAGCTTATTAGTATACAGTACGTAACAGTTTATAACAGAAAAAGAACATTATGTAAGAGAATTGTGTTGAGTGGTCATGGGACTGTAATGCAAGTTATGAAATTATATGGAGTGCTTAAGAAAACAAAATATGAGAATAATTGCACCCATGGCAATCCACTCAAATGTGATGATGTTGATACAGCTGTATTTTTTATTAATGGATTAATTAATAAAAAAAAAATACAGCCCTTGTTTAAAAAACAGCCTTGGGTGCTATTTGTTAGCTACGTTCAAAACTCACTGTCATTAACACTTCATATTATCGAAGTCAAAATAATTCAGTTCTCTATAGGGAGGCTGCTGCTGTGTAAACGTTCCCACTGATTGTTGCTGTCACAGTGTTGAATGAGCTGTAATACTGAAAGAGGAGTTGTGAAAAACATCACAGCACATTGACGAGGTCAGATGAAAGGAGGCCGAACACCCTGGATTCAATTGAAATTCTGACGGACACACTCCGCAGTAGATCCAACCAATCACATCTGCATTTGAAACCTAACTTATCTCTATAAGATGGTCACAGCATTGCTTTCCTTTAAGGGCCACTTGTCCACAACAAGTGGTTTATAGTCATTTTTTGCAGAGATGGCAGATGCAGTTAATATTTCAAGGGCTCAGTGTTGTGGCTTCTTTGTCTAATGGTTTGAGAACAAAGATCTACAGTTATTGTTTCCTGACAGATACATAAAGAAAACAGCTACTTTATCAAACCCTTAAATCGTGCTTAAAACCACATCTAGCGTCTTGCTGACATGAACAACCCTTGCATATTTGTTAGTTTTGGATGAATGTTTACCATTATGTTGTTAATGTCACAGCTGTATGGGACGCATTCTGTCAAAACTTCATATTTAAGGAGACTGTTAGGTGTTAATCTGCTACACTGCAGTTATTGCAGGATTGGACCATGATGGCATTAATGACAGGATGACAAACTACTCTCTTGAAGTGGAACAAACATGGAGGGCAGGGGCCAGAGTTAGGGAAAGGTGCTCGATATGAAAGCAGAGCTGTAACAGATGATTATTTTCATTATAGATTATTTTCTCAGTGAATCATTTGGTCCATCAATGCCAGGGAAAAAAAAAAGAAAGATCACAATTCCACAAAGCCCAATGTGATATCTTATGCCTTGTCTGATCAACAGTCCAAAACTCAAAGATATTCAGTTTAATATCATAGAAACTGAATATTATAGCCTTTGTACAGGTAGAATTTATGCCAGAGCTGTAATACTGGATTGGTTTTGACTGAGTCCTCTTGACTGTGGGAAAAAATTTCTGGTTCACTCTACATGTTATATTGCAAAGAGGAAACTGCATATCATAAAAAAATAAACACTGCATCTACTTCACGGAGCACTGAAATGATTACAGCTAAAGAATTTGTTAATCATAATTTTACAAGGTACTTTTTCCTCCCTGTTACAGGCACATTTTGAAGGATGAAGAGGATTTTTCCCAAGTAAAGGTTAAATGCCACTTTACCCTGAAGGCAGATTTGATTAAATTTGACAAACACTTGAAAAAACATGCTCCTCAGCCTCTCTCAGCATGCTGCTGTCACTATGTAGGAGACAAACATGGTGTGATAAGGAAACTCTACAATCTTATCAATTTTGCTGTTATTCTAGAACATGTGACCTCAGCAACGACTGAATCGTGGGCAGCAAACGCAGATGCAACACATGAACATCATAAGCATCTTTAATAGAACAAGTAGGATTTTTACAGGTAAGACTTAAATAACTTGCACATCACAGCTGAGAGGGCATGACACGTAGCACAACAATCTAATCAAGTAACACTGAGGTGGTGCAGATAGAGGAGACCACACCGTTTGATTTTCAGGTCACTGCACAAAATGAACAGTTGATTATTAAACTGGGAAAGACTGATGTACATACAGTACACACTCATCCACACAGTAACAGTTTAGCTTCGAGCTGCCACGACTGGGGTTTGCTGCTGATCACTGGACTGCAGTTGTCTTCCCAGATATTCCCTGTGAAAGAGAAACACAGAAGATTACAAGTTACAGCTCCATCATTCACAAAATCCCTTAAATCCACATAAGGAAGACTAGGGATGCAACTAATGATTATTTTCATCACTGACTAATCTCAAGAGAAAGTACAGCTTGTTTTGCCCAGTCGACAGTGAAAATGCCAAAAATATTTGGTTCAGTATAATATATTACACTTAAAAGTAGAAATTTATTTGAACAGCTGGAACCAAACAATGTTTTTCCACTTTTTTTGATAAATGACAAAAGATAAAACAACAACAAAAAAAAAAACAACAGTTTTAATAAAAATTGCTAATTGACAAACCAACTGCTCAACAAACTGTTTCAGCTTTGTGTCAGACCATGTCTTGGCTGGGAGCAGTGACGTCCTGGCAAACTAACAGCGTCCATACGACTTTGACCTTTAGAATCCGGCTTCATACTGTATGTACCCAACAGACATGAAGTGGCATCAGTTTTCTCATATAACCTTCAGCAAGAAAGCAAATATGTGGCACAGTAGATAATGGGTGGAAATTAGGGTCTTCAATATCTTTTAATTTCAGAGTATGTTTTCTGTAAGCTTCTCAATTTCAAAATGATTCTCCTGGCTCTTGTCACCCAGACCCCATGTTAGTCTTAATGTTGAAATTTAAAGTCATTATTCTCAAAGGTCACACATCTGCTTTAGGTTTCCTTTTTGGCAGGAACATTTTCAGAAATGTTATAACACTCAGCCAATTAATACCAGAAATATCAAATGGCTCTCAGAAACCTAAAAATGAATACGCAGATACTTCTGATGGCAGATACTTCATCCATCCTTGAAAAAAATTAGAGCTCAAACCACAGAGAGAAAGAACATCATGTTTTTCTGCAGATTAACAAAGATGTTTGGACTGTTACGCTGTTATGAAACCCTACTTCTATTTTTAAAGGCTGCCACTTCTTGTATTTACTCTAATTTATATATGAATCACAGAAGCAATGAGCAAATGCAGCACTTTAGGCAGGGGTCACAGCAAAAAGAATTTCTGATTCATAGAAACTACCTGTATAGTTTTGTTCCTTTTGTTTTTTAATGAGTTCTCTTCCCCTTAAAGTGCCAAACATTGCTCATTTTTGGTTAATGCATCCTTGCCTGCATTTAGATTTTGTATCTCTTTGTTAACTGCTGACCCCATTCTAGATGAACAGTCAAGTATTTTCCTAACAAGCATGAATGCACAGTGCAAACTGTGTCTTTTTAATGCCATAAACCTGCAAATGCCCGCAGCTATTTCACTAATTAACATCCACTTCAGTAAAAACAGAGAAATAATTTTTGTGTCTGGGAGAAATGAAACCCCACAGATCCTCCGAGGACCATGGCTCCTCACACCTGCTCTAGTTCAATTCCAACCTACAGTATCAAACAGCCTCTGATCTTCAGATCCCTGTCTCCTATTTCTGTCAAGTAGTTGTCCACAGGGTTGTGGAAAATTTCAGCTTTTAAGAGGGGGACAAAAAAAATATCCTCCAACATCAGAACTCTCTGCACTTCCCTGAAGCTGTCACTGATAACCCTTAGGTGGTCTGCAAATAGCAGCTACATGTTGATTTTGAGTGCTGCCAGACAGTCTTTCTTAACCTTTATTTTACCAGAAGTCCCATTTATAAAGTGAGACCTGGCCAGGATGGCAGTCATATTAATTAACAGCATATTAAAATTCAACACAATATACAAAAACCCCATTCACAAGTTTAAAAACAATGGACTCTCCACCTGGAAGAGCATAGCTGGTTAATAAAAACAGATGGCAGTAATTAGACATATGAGCCAGTGTTATGAAGTCAGTGCTCTGCAGCCCAAGTGCTTTGTATCTGCAGCTGCTGTATCACAGCAAAATGAGCCATGGGGGTAAATACAGCTTGGCATTAGTAACACTTAAATCAGAGGCTAAATAAGAAAACAACTAAGCATTTCAAAAAAAGATAACAGGATAAAGCAGTTTGGGCTTTGAAATTATAATATTACACTGTATGTGACGATGGCACCGGGCAGTTGCAGTTGGTCACAAGATAAATGCATGAATTATATCCACACACCCTAACAACCCAATTTCCGATCCATCCTATATTTTGCTTCATCATTGCAGAAGGAAACGCATGTAAGAAGAAAAAGGTGGTGTGATTTTCACATAACACACGACTGAATGTAATAAAACACATAAAAGGTACAATTTCAATCTTCGAAAAATGCCACGTACACTTGTCTATTCTCTCATGGTTTCATCTAAAACATCACATTATACTACAATCATCTGGCACATGAAAAAGATACAGATATAAGCAAAGGTTCAGCCAATCAGTCACATAACACAGTGTGCCTGCTACATAGAAATGTAATATGAGGATCATCTTGTGTTATAGATCTTGGCAGCACAAAGTCCACACTCAGTTACTAGCACTTTAAAACCAGTCAAGAGTAAAACAAGAACACACATCCTTATTGTTAGATGCTCACATGTCCACAAAAGCACACAGGCGCTGGTATCAGTGTGTACACAGACTACAAGTCCTTTAACTATAGACATTTGTAAAGACTGAGATGGAAGTGTGTGTGCCGCACCTCCTGTCCCTGTGGATTTGTGTCTGCAGACTAGGTTTGCAGTAGCACACAGAGGCTGCAGATGCTTCTGACACTGGGTCTATAGTCTCTTTACTGTTCAGTGACACATTCACATGCTGCACTAAACACAGGCCTGCATATACAGCTGGTTCTCTATGGTGTCAAAATTTATATTAAACTATGTACTAATAGTGTTTCAATATTCAGCCTTATGTTTCACATTTTCCTTGGTATCCGTCTACCCAGTGTGCATTAGATAACACTACAGTAAGATGCAACAATCACATCAGCAAATGTTCCTCAATATCATGCTGTTTGTCTGTGATATGCTGTATGTAAAAAGTCCTTAACAAAGAGTCTCATTTAGAATTTGACAAAGAAGGAAAAAACTGCTTTTTAGATTAAAGCATTTTATGAAATTATGGCCTTAAAGGATAAAGCCAGTCATTTTCTATATTTCTAGTCATTTCAGCAATCTCTATATAGAGACAAACTGACAGTGATTTGCCTCTACTCATGGTCAATGTCTGTCAGTCCCGGATCAGCTTCTTCCTCTGTGCCATAGACGACCGTTGGCCAAAAAGGATTAAAAGCACATCAGGGAAACACACTCCTGCACCGGGGTGACATGTTTCCTTCATTAGCAAACCCCAGACCTGAGTGTGAGGAGCTAGTGGAAGGTAAACAAAGTAGAGAGCTTGCACAAAACCTCACACTTGCACACTTGACTCTGCCTCATGCCAACTTTAGGAAATTATGGCTGCTGGGAGCTTCTGGTTGCAGAACCATCTATCATGGTTGGGTCTGGGGTTTCGTTATGAAAAAAAATGTGCCACCCAGTGCAGTCGTGTGTTTCCCTGATGTGTGTTTAATCATTTTTGAACAACAAGTGAGACCTATCGCACAAACAAGCCAATCCAGGACTGACTAACTGTGAGTAGAAGCAACTCAGTGTCAGTTTTAGGCTCTATATATAGTTTGCTGAAAATTCTATGGGCCTTATCCTTTAAAATGACCAGAGCAGTGCATTTCGCACTGCATGGCATTTTATATACAGCAATGGAATCGTGGAAATCAACAGTACACTCTGTTCAGTGATGTCAGTAAAGGGAGGACTGAAGAGAGGACTATGAATTTTAAGAACATTTGGTCAATTGAAATTCTTACCAAGGTCAGTTCCCACTCTTACAGTTGTTTCTCTCTCTCTCTCCCTCTGGATTTTTTTTTAGGCAAGTACTCTATGATCCTGGACACACATTTGGGTATTTTACTGCCCCTAAAAGCAAGGCTAGTGTATGAAAAGCAGTCTAATAATACACCATAAAACGTCAACGATAGACTTCTGGAGAAAGGACTGCGTTACTGAGGCCAGTACAGCACAAGGACAGAGTGACAGGCAATAACTTAAATAACCAGCCATCAGTACAGAGCTGAGTGGCAAACATGACATGCTTTCAGAACTTATCCAAGAACTGGAGGCACATTAAAGAAAATGATTTTTCAAGGCAGACCAAAGGGCACAAGGATAAGCAACAGGAGGCTCCCGGTTCACACATTCATCTGTGCTGTTGCCCTGACAGCAATAGTCTTCGCTACGTTGAATGAGATGATCTTCTTATAGATGATAACACTTAATGTGACCGTGGGTATGGTGAGCTGCACCAACCTCAGTATTTTCTCACTCTGCAGTAGCATTTCATGAAAGCAGCACATGACTCAGGGTGCTGAAACACCCTTAACCCCTAAGCCTTCCTCTCATAATAGCTCCTGTCCAGGTAAACAAACTAGTGGCAAAGCAGCAGCACATACAGAGAGAACCGACACAAACAGCTATGCTCAAGTGTTTTCCTCATTGTCTTTCAAACCCATTAATCTTTCAAATCCAATTAATTGTTGTGGTGGTGCATGTTATTACTTGAAGCTGAGTTCATCACAAGGGAAGATGTTGACCAGTAAAGACTTAGAAGAGAAGCTGAATAAAACAAGAATAAATAAATGTCCTCAGACGTGATTTGTGTTCAGGGTTTTAAAACAGCAGGCTGCTGCTTTCACACAGCTACACAAATAAGCTGTGATTGATGAAATATCTGTTCCAATATCCAGCCAGCTTTGTCATTAGTATGAAGGCATTTTGTATTAGTTTTAAGTTCAGACTATACGCAAGTTAAATCTTGGCTTCTTTATTTGTGGTAAGATCTTTAATTGCAGCCCGAAGGTTTTTCTTAACTTCTAATTTTAACTTGTCATCATCTTTCTGTAACTATAGTCTTGTTCCCCTATTTTTATTCACAACAGAAAACTAACAACATAAGATCCAATTCCTGGGATTTAGGGCATAATATATACTGTACATTTTTTAAAGCAGGTATGTAAATCAAAATTACCTCTGGCCTTTAAAGAAACTTAAATCTCAATCATGAACCACATTACTTTATCTCCTGGGAAAAAAATGAGAAATGTTAAAAATCTAGCTTCCTGTATCCACGTTGCACCGGGTATCTGATAATGAGCATGTGTTTCTTTCTTTTCAGTTAGCCAAACAAGGCTAAAAACCAAAAACCCTTTGTGCTATAGTGAATAAATAAACTTCTGCCCACACTTCAGTGAACATACCATTTACATGGAACATTAAGATCACTTAGACGGGAAAACTGCACTCCACTGATATTAAACACAATACCTCCATCCACAGTCGCCCAGGGAGCTAAGTGTGTTTTAAATAGCAGCTGGAAACCAAATACATTTTCACTTGCTGTTTGTTGATTTTTTGAGATTGTAAGTAAACCAGTAGGTCATCTTTTAAGGTCTTACCACAGCACACCCACACAGGTGATTTTATTTATGTTGGCTGACCTGCATGCGTGCGCTTGACCAATATCTCAAATCTCCTGTTAGCTTTGTCGCACCTTTGTTAGTCTTATCAGTACATCACATATTTCCCAGCATATTACTGCCCAGCTTCAGACTGAGCAGATCTCTTATCAGCTAAAAACACAATGAAAATATGTGTCAAATGTGTAGAGCCTTTAATTAACAGTATGTAAATGTAGGTGGTTGTTATCTTCATATCAGAAAGCTTGTTCCTCTGAAATTTTAAGTGCTAGTTCATAAGGGTAATGACAGTTTATATAAAGTGATAAACATTCAATGTCAGTTAAGGTGTCCATACCAGTTGTGGACCATGAGCTTCTGCACAGCCAACAGGGCATTGTAACGGACGAGCTGGTCCTCATGGTGCATATGATTCATCACCAGCTGTTTTCCACCCAGCTGCTCAATCACCCTGAAATGGGAGGAATAAAAGGAATAATGGAAGGCAGCCTTTTCCCCCCACACAGACTAAATGCACTATTTTCTTTTTTTTTTTTAATGGTCATTGAATGTTGCAGCATCTCATCCATGGTCAGTAGTCTTGTAAAAGGAAGTAATGCTTTGAAAAGGACAAGAGGACTGCCTAATGTGTATGGTAATATAATAAATTGTCTGCACAGAGTAAAAGAAAAGTTGGTGAAAGTGCAGGAACCCGCACTGTTACCGTTATGTATCTACTTTGGGAAAACCGACCATACAGGGGTTTAATTACCAGCATAAGGCTGGAAATAGGACATATGAATGCCCAGATTGTGAATACAGTGTAACAAAACAGATTTAGGAGACAAGAAAAACCATTAGCAAGCTGCCAATAACACAGTGTCTTTAGGCCAACACCTAAACAATACATTGGAGGGGATAAGGAGGGCTCCAGATAAGAATGAGCCGCCTCACAAGATTTAAGACAATGGATGGAAAGACACCCTGGACTTGAGCTCTACCGCACAGAATCTCATGTTTTTTATGGGTTGTGAGGAGATGGGCTGAGCTTCATGTATGCAGTCATCTTGGGGCACTGGCTACTTTAAAGTAGAATTTTTTTTTTCCATTAAAAGTTTATTGGAGCCAAGGGAAACACTGGTCAGTATTCTTTTTTTTTAACTAAGGTTCAGATCAAAAGACCAGAGTTAGTTTATTTGTCTCATATAATTCAACCTTTGTCATAATTTTTTTTCTTTATATGTTTATAGCCAGCTGCACAGCAAAGCTCAAATCTAAACACACTTAAGAAAACAGATTTATTTGGGCAATTATATTAGCACTGAAAAAAATTATAATTTGTCCTGCAGTTCTTTCAGGAGCACCTACTGACTGGACAGCTGCTTCTGGGGACAGTGACAGAGGTCAAAGTTGGGGACACTTACTTGTGTGTGTGCCCAGGCCAGATCTGGGGGTCAAAGTGCATGCAGCACCAGACCACACAATAGGGTGCCAGTGTCAGAAATTCTACATAAAGTGGATCTATACTTTCTATTTTCACAGAAAAAAATTCACTCACCGTTTCCCACGTGGGTAATGTCGCACGTACTCTCCAATGTCGTGAGCGGCCACTGCTATAACTTGAGGATCATCAGACACCTCCAACAGCCTCGTCAAGATCCTGTTAAAGGCAAGCAGACAGAAGGAGAGCCATTCAACTGGAGAGGTCTGTCTGCAGCACAAGATTTCACCACACTTTATCCACTCAGATCAGATATTTCTCAGATGCTTTAAGACAGACATTCCTGAAAAAGTTTCACAAAACAGATTAACTGAGATACACTTTCTTCCCCAAAGTGGAGGATGTAGAAATGCACCGATCTCTCAAAAAGTCAGGGTTAACTGTTACTTTAAAACTGAAGGCAAAACACAAAACCTAAATGAAAAGACACGAGGAAAGAGATAGCTGCTGAAAAAGTGATATCTTGAGGTTCAGAGTGAGATAAAGCATGGGTGAGGTTAGGCAGGAGAGTCTATTAAAAAAGGAGGGTAATTGGGTAAGCTGAGATGGCACCTGAGCTGATTACAGAGAAAAGAGTGATGAGACACTGAGATGGTAGATCAGAGCTTTTACTGAATGTCAACAGGCCCAACGGAGTGTGTAGCTGGAATACTGGTGTTAAGTTTCTGGTACAACAGTGCCTGATAAAATGACAACTGACATTATGACACTGTGGCATTCAACAGTGATTTGAATCTAAATTTAAGAATTTTAAAGCTGTTTAAAATGTATTTACAGTCAAGCCCGAAATTATTCATACCCCTGGCAAATTCTGACTTAAACTTACTTTTATTCAACCAGCAAGTATTTTTTGACAGGAAATGACACAGGCGTCTCCCAAAAGATAATAATACGATGTACAAGAGGCAGCATTGTGGAAAAAAAAAAATTTCTCAGCCTTTATTTACATTTGAACAAGAAGTGGCATGTCCAAAATTATTCATACCCTTCTCAATAATCAATAGAAAAGCCTTTATTGCCTATTACAGCAATCAAAAGCTTCCTATAATTGCTGACCAGCTTTTTGCATGTCTCCACCGGTATTTTTGCCCATTCATCTTTAGCGATGAGCTCCAACTCTTTCAGGTTGGAGGGTCTCCTTGCCATCACCCTCAGCTTTAGCTCCCTCCACAGATTCTCAATTGGATTCAAGTCAGGACTCTGGCTGGGCCACTGCAAAACGTTAATGTTTTTGTCTGCTAACCATTTCTTCACCACTTTTGCTGTGCAGTTTGGGTCGTTGTCGTGCTGAAATGTCCACTGGTGCCCAAGGCCAAGTTTCTCTGGAGAAGTGGTGTCCTCCTTGGTCTGCGTCTGTGGAACCCAGCGGCGTGCAGTGTCCGTTGGACTGTCTGCCTTGAGATGTTGCCACCAGCAGAGCCCAGATTCATCAGGATGGCCTTGGTGGTGATCCTTGGATTCTTTTTTTATCTTTCTCACTATCCTCCTGGCCAGCACACGTGTCAACTTTGGCTTCCGACCACGTCCTCTGAGATTGTTCACAGTGCAGAACGTCCTGTATTTTGTAATAATACTTTGCACTGTAGCCACTGGAACTTCAAAACATTTAGATATGGTCTTATAGCACTTTCCTGACTCATGAGCAGCCACAATGCGCAGCCACAGGTCCTCAGTGAGCTCCTTTGTCTTAGCCATGACTGTCCACAAACCAACAGCAGAGAGCTTCTGGTTTTCACCTATTGAGTTGATTAAAACAGCTGTTCCCAATGAATCTGTGTAATTAGGAAGCTTTAGAACAGCTTGGACTATTTGGAATGGTATAGAACTTTGGATTTTCCCATAAACTGTGACAGTTTGCAAAGGGCATGAATAATTTTGGACATGCCACTTTTTGTTCAAATGTAAATAAAAGCTGAGAAATTTTTTTTTTCCACAATGCTGCCTCTTGTACATCGTATTATTATTATCTTTTGGGAGACGCCTGTGTCATTTCCTGTCAAAAAATACTTGCTGGGTGAATAAAAGTAAGTTTAAGTCAGAATTTGCCAGGGGAATGAATAATTTCGGGTTTGACTGTATATACATGTTTTACATATTTTAAATTTGGAGAACTATTAAATCTTCCTTATAATAAAACAAAGTTTGTGTCCTTGTGTACAAGCTGTGATATCAGCTGTATTGTTCTTTTGTTTTAAGGGAAGGAGAAAATGAAAGGTCTTGCTCAAGTACATGCTTCGTCTTACTTGAGGAGCTCATAGTTCTTCTCATTCAGGCGGACAGCGTTCTCACGCCAGAACTTCTCAGACTTGTGCACAGGACTCCATTCCAGACGACCCGACTTGAGTTCAGAGCTGTACTCATCAAATGAGCTGGTGGGGGGAGAGAGCAAAAAAGTGAAGAGGACTGTCCAAACATTGTTACTGTTACATGTCCCTCTCAACCTCTGTTGAGAGAGCAATGATAGATACCATTATAAAATGATAATAATATATATAGATAGAGGTGTATATAGAGGTTATCAGAAATATGTTTTAGAAGATATTCTTGCATCCTAAAAATGTGGCAGATTCATGCACTTTGCTATAATATGGTGATTTAAAGGCTCTGCACACCTGACGCCTATTTTCACTGAAATACTGGTTCAAGGATTTTGCCTTCTGTTTTGCAATCTGTTCTCTTTCACTTATGAAAATGAAACTGTTTACAGTATTCCTCTAATGCCTGGTTCAGACTACACATTTTTTTGTCTGATAAGATTGTAAGTCATAAATTCATGCTGTGACTTGGACGAAGGACATGACAGACTACATGTTAGTACCCGATAGATCACAGCCTGCTGTCATTCACGACTTGCGTGGAGGAGGTGCAGGGACTGGGAGAATGTAAAAGCAGAACAGTGTCTGAAGTGGTGTGTGTAATGGAGTCCATTAGGTACCTGAGATCCTGCACACTCTCTCCCAGCTTCTCCAGGAGGAACTTAATGTCCTCAGTGATATCCTCGTCATCATACTTCTGCTGCTCCAGGTTCTCGAGCTGCTTCAGCACCTTACACTGAATCATGGCCAAAGCGTACTCCTGACGAGTCTCCCGCTCTGCGGACTTCTCCAGGAGATTCTGTCAAAGACAGCGACAGATGTTCTATATTAATTATTTCACTCACGTGTGTGCAATTTGTTTGGGAAATGAGATATGATCTGAAAGAACACACAAATTCACACCAAATGAGAAAGTAAATTCTAGTATAGTGCTGAAATCGTTAATCATTTGTTTGACTGACTGACAGAAAACCAACAATTTTGATAACTAATTATTTAAGTCATTTATAGAGTCAAAAAACTTACAAAACAACTCAAAGTGTTTAAACAGAAGTTTTGCTGCTTTTATTTTAGTTATATTGCTGTAAACTAAAATAAATATCGGGGTTTGGGTTGAATTTTAAACTACTGACCTGATTTGGACCTTTGTGAAGATGTAATGGGCATTTTCATTGTTAATTTTATAATCTAACAATGAACCAACTAATTGGCATAGAAATTTTTAAAATGGTAATGACAATTGTTAATCGTATGGAAAAAATTTATATTAGTTAAAATCATGTGAGGGTAGTTTATAAAACAGCATGTGTCAATCAGTTTTTTCAGATTAACATTGGATTATGTCATTTAATGAATTTCAAAAATAAGGCCAGGCATAATATCAATAACTGTGAAAAAGACTGCATATTTATATTGCAATTTGAAGGCACTGTTGTAAATCAACTAGTAAATCAACTAATGTTAAATAAGTCATGATTTTCCTCCAATACAGACACTGCATTTCAGTATATTCTACATCCTTTAAAACCAGGATAAAATTTTTAGGTGTTGTGATGAATGCAGAGCCACACTGCAAAGAGAACACAATGTTCAAATACTGTCAAAGCTATTTTTCAAAGGAAGAGAGTTCCAGAAACTCAGTGTCAGCCAGTAATTGAGACAAAATTCTGGTGGCAAACTTTTGGAAGGCACAAATGAAAAATGGCTTGTGCAGTGGGACCCAGAAATAAGCAGCCTACTCCACACTCTGATTGAAGCTTTTGTGTCAAAATTGAGGCTAAAGCTACAGCTAACTACAAATATGTGACAAATTTATCTAACAAGAATCTGGGATGTGTTCACAACATGTGTCCCAAACGGAGCAAATTGGACAAGTCACAATAAATGTTTACAGTCTGCTTGCAAAGAAAGACATATGGCAAAAAGAAACTTAAAGATTCCTGGGGTCTAACTGTGTTTTTCAAAAAAATTTACTTTTGGTGTCAGAGTTAGGTTTGGGAAAAACATTGTAAACAACAATACTGCCTTTGAGGATATGTTTAAGGACTTCCAGATGGTCTGGATAATTTAAGTCACATTGTCGGTCCCATGTGGTGAGCACATTTATTTGCATAATTGGGACATTTGGGAACAACAGCACCATGTGGAAACAATGCTGAAAATGTTTCTTAAAAAAACAACAACGAAAAACTACTTCTTGTGACCATCCCACTTCCTCAAAATCTGCATGACAGAGCATTGAGAATTCTTGAATCTTAAAAAAAACCCAAACTATTTGTTACTGAGTGAATGTTTTGTAGCTCTCCTTACTTTACGTCAAACAGACACACTGTACTAATGACTTAAGGGAAAACCCATTTAACATCCAGATGTTTCAGGGTCTCCCTTTGCTGCCCACCATTGCTTTTAATTAGCTATAACTGAACTGCAGACCTCTCTGACCAATCATAAATGGAGATCCCTTTCTTTTCACAAACTCCTGACATGACAGTTCTGCTGGCAGGAGAGGTGTGATGAATGAGCTTTTGGGGAAATTCAAAGCAGGAACACACGCAGTATATTCAGGCAAAAATAACACAGTACAATTCTAACTTTGTTCAGTGAATAAAACACAATAGAGAAGTAGTCCATTAAGAACGCAGATGCTTATTTTCTTATGTTAGGATGACAATGATATACTGATGGAAACTGGCCGAGCTAGTATAAGAAGCCATAAATATCTGGCTTAAAGCTGGGTTTGAAAATCATCTCTCCTTCCCAGACTGGTGTACAAGCTCATGTTTCAATCATGTAATCAATGACATTTACCACCCTACTGTGCACTGAGTAAGGCCACCGAGCCCGTCTGATGTCGCTGGGTTGGACAAAATCAGAATATCACAGAAGCTTCTCATTTAAAAATCCACATTACTTGTGGGCTATAATTGGTTGACTGGATATGAATATTGGTATTGCATTCAATATGATATGTGCTCAGGGTGGCCAGGTACTGCAGACTGCTGACTGGACTAATGTGCTGTACAGTAGCTGAGGATTTTTACAGTTAACAAAACATATCAGTATACTGTATATTAACTAAAAGACCAGTGTTTCTCTGCATAAAATGTGTATTCATTTGGGACTAAGCAGTCAGTTCCATACTCTTCCAAACACAATACACAGCCAAATACCTGGAAATCATTATATTAAATTTCAGTGCATTTCCCAGATGTTCCAGGCCACTGCTGGTGCCCTGTCAGACTCACTAACTTCCTCTAATTAAAAAGCGCCTCAGCGCTGGGAGATAAATGGAACCTTTGCCATTAATTCAACTGTATGGAGAATTCATTATCTGGCATAAACACAAAACAGAAGAGCAAACCCAAAGCACAGCTTGTAGGACTACATTAAATATCCAGTGGATGTTTATGAACAATCACAGTAAAGAGCAAAAAAGGTTGCATAATCCCAAATGCATCTTTTATGGGCTGCTTCATCTGTTGTTTAAGTGTTGCAGTGTCACTTTGTGCTTGTGATAGAGTATAGGGTCTAAATATATGTAAATGTTCACCATTATTAACACCACTGTGGTGCCCTTGAGCAAGGCTCTTATCTCCAACCAGCCCAGTGGAGCTGCTCAGTGGCCACAGGTCAGTTTGTAAATACGTATACTGGGCAGCGTCGAGGTGTCAACATGCAACTGTGTGAATGTGAACAGGGCGTCACCGAAAAAGAGAGGTGGTCTCTCAGTGGATCTACCCTGAATAAATAAAGGTAAAAAATGTTGCAAAGATTTTGAAAATGTACCGTGACGGCACATTATGCTTCGCCCATCTCTTCATCTATCTACATCCTAGTGTTTTCTGTCTCAACTAACAGTGGGAGTCTGTGAATCAGCCATAGCAATGTTTTTCCACAGCTAGTACTAGCTTGAAGCCTTGGTACGAGATTAGTAGTAGACCAGTGGTGTGTTCACATATTGACTGACAGCAGTGAACCCCCAGCTCTAACTCTGACCTTCACTTGCTTGGTCTGAAGGGTGATGCTCAGGGAATACCTCTACACTGGTGCCAGTCTCTTCACTGAGTCTGGGTCATAGAAGCCTTTGATAGCACCTGTCAAGTTCTGCAGTATATTTCAACTAAATATTTGAAAAAAGATACACACTGTATCTTCTGGATGACTGTATATTTAATAGGTTTACTATGGTGATTTTAATGGTGTTTGTTGCTTATTTCTTCCCTTTGACACATGTATTCATGTAAATGTTTATGTACTCAAATTTTACTACAAATATTCAGCAAAATAAAAAAACGACTATTTTAAACTATGATTGTAGTTTTTAAACTAAGGTCCATGTTAAGGGACAGCATTCAGCCAGCGTAGGCAAAACATTTTCTGTGAAAAGTGGCATTTCAGAGACACACAGAATGAGTGAGAAATGCTGACACATACCCTGAATGCAGCTAGAATAATTCGAGTGACCTTCTCCTTGACAGACTCCTGGAGGATGTCGGACAGGGCCGGCACTATGTTGTAACGTCTCAGCTGCTCACAGAGCTGAGGACTGAAGGCCAGGAGCCAAATGCAGAAGATCATCTGATACTGGAGCTGGAAGCCGCACTTGTTGCTCAGCACTGCTGTGATGCTTCAATAGGAAATAAGATAAAAATAATAGAAAGCAAAATAAAAAAAAATAAAAATTTAATAACACAAAGTGCTGAAATGTGGACGGTTTGCTAATAAAGAAGCTTTCACTGCTGTGTGCCTACGTGCTGCTAATCCATTATCTCTGATGATGGCTGAGAATGAAATGTCCAGACAGTCTTCAGAATAATAGCGTTGCTCAAAATACAGAGTATAGTACTAATGACTACAGCTGGACAGTGCATCATACCCTTTCTGAAATAGCTGGAAAGTGCAGAGATGTGGATCTTATAGATGTGCAATAATTACCTGACCTGAAGGGACCAGGTGAAAGATAGACCCCATTAACAACTTGGACCACAAGCAACTCTGACAATCAAAAGCAGGAACACTAACTCTTCTATCCAAGAAGGGTTTGGATAGAAGGGTAAACAAGATTTTGTTTCATTCCATCAAAAAGAAAAACACAGTTTGACTTATTACTAGTCCTGGATTAAACAGGATGATCATCTTGTTACTGGCTTCTTCTCTTTCTTTCGCCTGAGGGTTTTGATGTTGAGTGAAAATAAGTAGATTTTGTACTTCAGAACTTTTTGAATGATAGTTTTAACTCACTGCTGTATTTTTCAGACCACTGTCTGTAAGCAAGGCTGCCCCTCATGGTTATTGTGGCGTAACTGGTAGCAACCAAGTACATTTACTCTTCTATTATACTTTGTACTTTGCGTGTTGGCATTTTCTGCCTCTGTTTTCTTTTACACTGAAACAACTGTAATGATAGTGAATTAATGACCTCTCTGAACAATTTATATGTCTAATTGCCAAGTAACAGAATTTTTCAAGGTACAGTATTTAGTTATATTTTTGCAAATTATAAAGTCATTACTCACCAGTTGACTCCATCAGCCTCCACCCAGGCAAACCTATATTCATTGACCCTCAGCATCAGCTGAAGGCAGCCGGCCACACATTGGACATACTGAGAGCTCTGCGAACGACACAGGCAAATATTTACTCAATCAGAAGTGTGAGTCGTAGCTGTGTAATCAGGAAAACAAACAAAATGTTAGAAGGTCAAGTACAATTGGTGCAATTCTGAAACATGAAGTAGTAGTTGACAAGCAGAGATAGCACATGGAAGAGGACCAGTCCAAAACTTGCACCTATCAAACCTGAAGCATTGCACATGCAGTCTATCATATATGCATATAAGGTATACACACACACACACACACATACATCAACGCGTGCTAGATCACAGACCCAGTAGAACAATAGTGAGCAGCGGCAGGGAAAACTGTCGCATTACACCTGAGCAGAATGATGTAAATTGGAATTAGAGTGGAAGAAACTGAGAGGAAAAGAATAAATCACATTAATCTGTTAATTAAAAGAGGTTGAACAAAAACAAAGTCCAGCAAGATAAACAGGCAGCAGTGAAGACAGAAGAGTGGTAAAATAGTGGAGGTTACCTGGTTGAAAATGCAGAGGAAAAATGATCAGTACTCATGTCAATATATTTGAGCACAGTTATCACAATAATCACACTATTCTTGAGAAAGCATGGGGTATACATTGGTAAGCCGTTGTGCAGATGTTGTTCCATTTTTCCCTCGTTATCCTAATGTATAGGAAAAGCTGTGTTTGTCATGCACTTTCAGTAATAAAGAGAAGTAGCTTATGGCATGCAATTTGTATGGATTTAACCAACCAGTGTCAGCAAACACCATGCTGTCAAAATGACAAATTCATCTAAAACTGCTCTAACAGCCTCAGGTCTCCAACAATCTGGATGTATAAAAAAAAAAAAACGGGAGTGCAAGAGCAGGATGGGAGAGAAAGAGGGGAAAGAAAAGACATGAAAGTCCAGTGACAGCTGACCGATGACGTCTTGCAAAAACCCTACTTCTTTTCGTATTATTATTTTCTGTAGAAGCACCAGGGTTACTGAAGACACTCTTCACTCATACTCACTTCACTGGGGGACATAGTTCCTGCTCCTGAGCTTGTTTCTGGACCTGTACCATGTAGGTTCTAATGAGAGATAAGAAAGAAAAATCACGTGCAAAATTGTTCACAATCCATCACTTCAAGCCGAGTAACAGTGGCACTGGACAACACAGTACAGTATGTGCTGTAAACTTGGCCACAAACGTATGTCATTGACAGCGGATGTTCACTGATCCAATGCCTGACTGTTGAGGAGAGAAATGATTATCAAACACAATCTCTAGAAATTGTTACACTTTAAGAACATATTTCACAAAGACAAAATGTTTGACATGAGGAGAAAATGGCAATATCAGGCTTTTGGAAAAGCTGTCTGTATCTGATTTGAAGACAACCTGAGATCATCTTAAAAATACCGGTGTACCAAGCAGAAGAACAAGAGTAAAACTACAGAAGAAATCAATATTCTGCTCAGCCAATTCTTTGGTGCATTCACCAAGGCAAGGCTTACAATGCAGTTTTCACTGGGCCACCTCAAGGTCTGACAAAGCCTGCTCAACCTGAGTGTGAATAAATAAATACATTCTATTAAATCAGACAAGGTTTTCATCATGAGACAAAACAGGACTAGAATCAATGTAAAATTACTAGTGAGAGAAATCAGAAATTACTTCAGTTGTTGAGACGATGAGACAAACAAATTAAACTCTGTGGAAAATAATAAGCCAACGTCTCTGACGACACATCATGTAAGAAATTAATTGCCCATTACATGATAATTTCAAGTTTATTTCAAAACTCAATTACACAGTACATTGTACAGACACAAAATCTGATCATTCATCCTGTCAAAAAGATGAATCCCACTAAAATGGGCCTGACAAACTTTAGGTTTTCTAATGAACATGAACTCCAGACCTGTTTATGATCATGCACTATGTACCCTGAAAATTAAGTATCTCGACAAGAACAAAATCATCGATTTTGGTGATGCTCGTCATTAAGAGTGCCACGTTTTTCTTATTATACAACTACTGCTAATAACACTGTGAGAGTAGTCTGTTAGTCACATCAAACAGACAGAGCTCAATTTGATGTAGAAGAGGCACTGTAAAATGAAAAGATTCAACAGTTTGGACTCCACATGTAGTTAATGACATTGTATGTGCTGTAACTACCTTTTAAACCAAAATTCTTCAGAAAGTCCTATTATACATCAGAAGATATTTAGCAGCAATATTCTGGCAAATATACCTGTGAACTGAGCTGGCTTTTGATCCAGTTGAAGTAGTAGTTCAAATCACTTCCTTCCATCAGATCACGGCCCCAGGCAGCCAGCTTAGCGATGATCCTCGCCGCCTAATATCAAAACGCATTTCGCATTCATAATGCTGTGCATAAACAGTGGAAATTTACAGCAATGCAATCATTTTGCTGCACTGTTTGAGGCATAATAAGCTAAGACATTTCCCTGTTTTATCTAGCTACAGTGTATGATCAGGTCATTGATGCATGATAGCATCTTAAATGTTTATTTCAGGGAGGAAGAGAAACCAAAAAAATGAAAGCTAGGCACACAGATAACAAGACCTTCAATTTACAAAAACCTCTTCAGAAACACAGAAAATACTGACTACACACAAAACATGAACCGCAATCTCATCTAAGTGCAAAAATGACTGAGGCTACAATGACTATCTCCATCTATTTCAGCTTGTTAAATGCCCCCTATGCCTTTTGATGAGACGGGAACAAATTCAACTTTCCAATTTCCTCCTTGCCAAGAGAGGATTTGAAGAAATATTGAAACTGTAATTTAAAAGCAATAGTCACTGGACAGTTGGACTGAATTCAAATGTTGTGTCAGAGCCTTGAGGCCACATTATACCCTCCTGCTGGTTGCCATCCGGCTGGGATTCTTAATTAATCTATGGGTGCCCCAACACAGTACTCAGTTTGTCTTCAGGTGGTCACCCTTAATTTGACAGGAAGAAACCATTACATTAATTGCTTGTTTTTGATGAAAACGGGGAAGGTTGCTTTGTGAGGAATTATTGATGTCTTGCTATTTTTAGAAGCAGAGCCACATTTGTAAAAAATTCATGGCTCTGAAAAGTTTTATGGAATAAACCTTACCATTGAAAATATGATCAGTACACTATGATTGTAGTTAATTAGCTAAGGTCAGATAGTAAAATATATATGTACTTTAAAAAAAAAAAAAATCACACTGTGCTTGTTCAGTCTATAGACCAATAATGTCCATCATGGTAGTCAATGACAAAGAAATTAATAATTGCATTGTAATTAATATGTTCTACATTTGGATTTTTCTGTATTCTAAAAAAATACTTGGTATCAATATTTCTTAACTCACCATGTGCACAGTAAAAAGGTCCTGACGATTCAGCATGGGAAGGAAATAGGACCAGGCGGTGTTCTTTGTCTTTTTGGCATAGTCAAAGAAGATGTTCACCCTCTGATGGTTCTCCTGGGTATCGACAGTGACGGGATTTTAAACGTGGACAGTCGGTTAAGTGCATGGAGCCAAATCCTTCTTTACAAGCCAATAATATTTACAAGAAAAAAAAGCCTCTTGTTTATACAAAAGCAAATTCCAAATAAGCCAGGATGTAAAAACAGTCACGATGAGGGCTGATATCTCCAAGTTTAAAGTTGGCTCAATTCACTGACTAGTATCATTAGTACCAGTTACTTTCTGTTATATCAACAGCTGTTGAGATTTCAGATTTTTTTTGGCTACAAAATACTTTATACACCACCCCTAATGAACAGAAACATTGTCAGTGCCAAATGTAGGTAGAAAAATCAACACTTTTCTCAAAGTTGACACATCTGCAAAAACATCACTTTCTATGCATACATATAAAATTCAAAGTTCTATCCTGTCAATCCTCTTGCTCTTTTCTGTCAAGTTTTTAATATCATGACAGGATGTTTGAATGCAAACAAATCCTAAATCAACATATTTGCATGGTGGGAATAATGCGAGTTAAATGTGAAAAGGGTCAGTCTGTTTACCTGCAATGTGTCATCAATCAGAGTCAGGATATACTGGACTGTCTGCTCCTTGGAGATGTGGGCCATCAGGTTCAGAAAGGTCTTAGCACACTGAGCAAAAACAAAACAGATGCATAAACATTCAGAATGACAAACTGAATAAACTGCATGCCATCTCTAAAAACAGTCCAGAGTGTATCTCAGGACAGCAAAATGTCAGCTTTAGATGCTAATTAATGCAGAAGGAAGAACACCACATCCAAATCAAAACTGTGTCCTTTGGCTGCTTTTAACAGTCTCAAAAAGCCAGGCCAGGGGTAGGACAGTGGAGAGAAACCACGTTATGTCCCACTGTCACTTGACTTATCATATGATATGTAAAATCTTAGTTACAGTAATGCACCTTTAAAGCTATAAGCTTGCAGGATGGTTGGTGACCCACACAATCTCCTCTGTGGGTGTGTGTGTGTTGTTCACAACAACTAATGTGTACACACTCGCACCAAGTCTGCTCTCTTCCATGCGGGACTTGGCACTGTTCTCCAACACTGTAAACTAAACTGCAGTAAGCACAGGGGAAGGCTGATGTTCAAGAAGAAAGCAGAAAGACATTTACAGTGGCTTTATGTCACTCCTGTAAACCGTAAGTGTTGTTTTCCACTTATAAATACATTGGTTATGTGGTTTCTGATTTGTATTGGAAGGAGGCAGAAAAAGAATCAACACTCAGGCAGCACGGCCACAAACCACACACTGTCAATTTTCAAGAGGTATGTGTGCGACCTTCCCCGTCTTGCTGCTGCTTTGCTTAAATGTCAGGCATCAGCTCTGTGCAGCCAAAAGAAGACTAAGAATGAATAAGCTTTTTTTTTTTACCAAATACTATTACTGGTCTTTAAAAAGATCCTGTTTTAATGTGCCTGGTTGTTTGGTTTGGAAGGTTGAGAACTGAAGATCAGGCTGAAAACAGCGAACTAAAACTAAAGCAACTACTATAGCATGTATTGGATGAGCCCATTAGTTAAACACACACAAAAAAATCAGCGATAAGGCAAAGAAATCATATACCTGATGTCCTTCATTGGTCAGAATGACCTGTTTCTCCTCAGAGTTTGCCACCTCAAACTTCTTGATGAATTCACAGTCCTCCGCTGAGATCATCTGACTCCTAGAAGAAAATTCATTGAGACATTGGCAAAATGGTAAATTGGGAGTGCACTATCACTTTTATAAATAATGATGCAATTTAATTACATGTTCTTTTGACATGAAATTTTGTCAAAAGCAAGGCCAAGACTGGGCTGGGTAATAAAGACGATTGCTTCTATTAATCACAAGGTCTTCAAAACATTTCCTTTACTGTTGGAACAAGACATACAACATACATGTGTGCAGCTTATCCACACACTGGAAGGCTGTCATTGCATTGATACTAGCACACCGCTTCTAATTGCAAAGGCAAATTTTACAATAATGGCAATTTACCAAGTAATTCCAGATGTTCTCATTAAGGCATAACACATGGTCCATGAAGACAGACAGAAAACATGTAAAAACTTGCTTGAAGATTTTTTTTATTATAATAATGTGAGTCTGCTGTATTGAAGCATATATAAACTCAAAGAGGAAGTATCACTTAAGACAGTGAATCAGAACACAGGAACTAGAGCAGAGCTGCTTTTAGATTAGCACATTGCACTCTACAACCTAAGACAAAGATGGTTAACAAAATATTGGTCTTTCAATACAATGCCTCCAGCACAACACCACTACGCACTAACATTTAAATAGTAAACATGGAAGGAGAGGAGAAGAATTATTTCTTTTATGGCAGGCTCAAAACATCTTAAGCCTTGAAAAAGTTCAACAGTATTAGACTGTACAATGTAATAAAGTGTCCAGTGAGTGTATATTGACATGATGTGTACTTACTGCAAGTAGGACTGCCAGTTGACCAGATTGGCCCGCACCTCTGCTGCCTTTGCAGCAATGATGTTGGTGGGGACTGCAGCGTCCACAGCCCCGCGGATATCCATCCTGTGATATATCTACTACAGTATCTGTCAGGGGAAAAATCCAACACGAGTTGGATGGAAACACCAGAACATCTTTTTTGGGTACCACCGTTAGCTAAAAGCTTGCTAGCAAAATAAGTAGCGGACGCTAAGCTAACCTAGCCGCGCTAGCACAGCTTCTCATCCATCCATTCTGTCAGCATGGTAAAATGACCGCTATACAGGCAACAACACTTAGGACAACAGAATCAGACAAAACACGTGTTTGCTAAATTATAACATATTTGATAAGAAGTAAGAGAGTATAAATCCACACGAATTACTCACCTTGCTAATGTCCTGTGCAAACAGCTGACAGACTACAACAGGACGTCACGATCATCATGTGACAATCAGTCACGTGCATTGCTCTGTTTGACCTCAACAGGAGTTACCCAGAGCAGAGGAGTTTCAGTTCAGATCAAAAAACGTTTTCACGAAACGACAGTAACAGAGTGAAAGTTTTGATAAAAGTTGTAAAAATATCATGGCCGTGTAATAATGTAACTAACTACACCGAAGTAGGTACTATACTCAAGTACAATGTTGAAGTACTCTACTTTAACCTCTTCACATGAACATATCTATTAAAGTGGATAAAGTAAAAGCAACATAAAATTTCTAACATTTTTTTGCTTAAAGTCAGTAGACCTACATTTACTTTGTATTTAAGTATATACTTTGTATATTTGAGGTAGCTAACTTGGACTTTACTTGAGCATTTTCATTTCATGCGACTTTATAGTCTACTTAGTCTACTCCACTATAATTCATAAAGAAATATTGTACTGCGTTCCCTTACAGTTATATAAGTCACTAGTTTGCAGATTGAGATTTTGCATATACAAAGTAGGCCTGTATGAGCTTGTGTAGCAGAGTTATAATTCCATTTGCCATAACCTAAATAATTTGTTGCCTTGCAAAATATTATGCATTTTTTTATCCATGAAACTACCCAAAACTATGTAAAACATTACCTCAGCCTCCACCAGCTACAACAGTAAAATGATACTTACTGCATCAATTTAATATCCAGTAATGTAGTATATTTGATTTGATTTGATTTGATTTATTTATTCTTTCAAACATGTAACAACAATCAATATGTAACCACACATAATTCCAGACATATCCACAAATATAGTTTCAATTTGCTTATACCTAGTACATGCTTGAACGGAGTAGGAAGAAGTTAGACTTATCTAGTCCTACCCCCTAACATCATCTTATCAACATTGGTTTGCAAGCAGTATTACTACATGGATACATATTCTACATCCACACTCCCATCTGATTAATCATTAAGCCTGTTCTTGCCCATATCTTGATTGACACATACCTTTATATCTG